CCCCCCCAATCAGGCTGACTGGGCCTCTGTCAGACAGAAGACCCTCTCTCAGCTTGAAGGGGGCAAGCAGGTCAGTGCTACCCCATTTTACACATTTTGGCCTTTTGTTATGCCACTACACACTTCCTCCCACTTGATGTGCACACACAAACACAGCAACACCATCCCTTGCCCCATAGCTCCTCATCCCTTTTGGAGAGTGACATAATCAGGTAGCGAGGCATATTTAGTGCTTAATTACACAATGTGTCGCACAATGGCCATTCAAAACGATAATTTAGCTCCTGAAGGGAAATTGCTTTGCACTGCTGACTGATCTAACTGGGATGGGAATGGTATAATAGCATATAGTTGGCAGATGAGGCCTGGGTTGAGAAACGTAGCAATTGCATTTCTCCAGACAGCTCTTCGGCTGCTCATTATTCTAATTGCGAACTATGCTACAGTACAGGATGCACACAGAGCACGAGCATCCTTTGAGCTTGAACATGGAGGAAACCTCTTTAGGCTGTGTTGAGTCAATCAATGCTCACTCATTACAAACATCACAAAGTCATGTTCTTGTCGCCTGGATGGTCTCACCCGCCGACAGTGAAAATAACCTCATAATCATCGTTCTGTCAGGATCAGGATCATCAGAGACCGGGCTTGAACTCTCTGACTCCCCTGCCACACTGAAATAATTGTACTATGAGATGATGATTTATTTCTCACAAGGACATTTTCACAAACCTTTATTTTAATTTTCAAAGCCTTTCATCCCTGGATCAGGATGATAAACACACAGTTGCTTCTTCAAGGACACTTCAAGACTTTTATATCTATTTAAGACAAACATATTCACATTCAAGATACAAACCACATGAGAAATTACTCTTTTCAACCAGCAACACATGAAAGTAGCTTCACATTGTACCTCTCGACCGCTGTAATGCGGCCTCTTCTCAACCCAAATCCATTTGGGATTAACAGAGTTAACGAATACGCCATGAACAATACTGCACCCGTGCAGCCACTAATTAAAGCTGCTTCTAATGAGGGCTCGTTGATTGACACAGCAGGGTTGGCCTCTCCCCTCACCAGCATCAACTATGACAGCCACATGATGAGGCTGATGACAGGCTCCCATGCAGGCAGATGACAGGACGTCACCGCTAGACCACCATCACTCCTCATCTCTGAACAATACCGCACTCGTGTCACACCCCGAGATTCATCCAGCCTTGCTCTCTGGTCTTCTCGTGGATGTTTACACAAATAGAAATGATTTGATTCAAGGTGTTTACACTGTACCTTGTCAGTGTTTATTCTGCTTAAAAGAAACACCCTGTCGACCAGTGGTAGAAAAAGTATTTCAAACCTTTACTAAAGTAAAAGTACCAATACAACTATATAACAATGCTCAAATACAAGTAAAAGTCCTGCATTCTAAGGTAAGTAAAAGTGCAAAGTATTATCAGAAAAACTTAAAGTGGCTGATAAATTAACATATATTACATTATTGGATGTGCATCGATATTAGTTGCATTTTACAGTTGTTGCCGGTCCAGGTGTCAGTTTTAATTACTTTATATACTGTCTGGTTGTTCCTATTTAAAAGGGTCACAAGATAAATCTGGGACAGAAGAAGGTGAAAAAGAAGATAAATCAAAGAACTGCTATGCGTTCATTTTAGAAAATGTCTAATCTTTGCTTTTTGTCATATATTTGAATACAAATATTTTAACAAAGCCATCTGAGAAGTTTAGAGCAGCTTTTGTTCTAAAAGGGTTTGTATGGTATTTTATAAGCCTATCAAACTGTAAGTTTTTGACAGAAACTGTTAATGAAAAATACACATACAAATGTACTTTCCACCATAAATGTTGAACATCAATCTTATTTGAGATGCTTACAGTTAAAAAAATGAATGCAATATGTCTAAATAAAACTTTGCAAGGGATTACTTCAGACTGTGTCCATCCAGCAGCTCTTTAGATGGACTTATTTCTCTGTATATATTACCAGTGACAGACATGAATCATGCCAAAGAGGCCTAGCTGTAGGGCATCACCAAGCCAAGTTGACAATGAGGGTGAAGTGTTTGAGTAAATCTTGTGCGAGGCCCATTGGCCCCCGTGGCAGGGCCTCTCCGTGCTGGTTTGTGAAGCCCAGAGGATGACAGGTGCTTTTCGTAATGCCTAACTGATGAGAGCCAATCAGTGTGGCCCATTCTGCTGGTGTGTGTATCTTCTCCTGTTGTTGTCATCTGGCCCGCTAAAGTAAAGATGAGCTTGACTGACAGATGCATCCGGGTTCACAGTTTATTGGTTTCTACGAGAGAGCCAGATATGCCAATTTAGACAGGGTAGTGACAAAAAAGTTCCCATCTAAATGGAATAATTTTACCACTGGGAATTCTCAGCTGGGAGAGGAAGGAGTGTTAGTGTGTATGTGTGTGTGTTTTTTCTATCTTTTAACAAGGCCTGAATGACAAACACATAGGACAGTTAGGGGGCTGACAGAAACAGCAGCTTTTGATGCTTCACAGGGGATCCATGAAATAAACAATAGGCAGAGGAAGCAGGGAAATTGAATTACAACTGGCTGGACTTGTGTGTTTCTGAGTAGAGAGTGAGGAGAGGAGGTGAGGCAGCAGCAGTGTGGTATAGCAGGATGAAACCGATGCATCATTAAATATACTGGAGTCAAAAGCTGGGGCAACGCTCTCCTGCCTTCCCAACTGTCCTGATTCTTTGTTTCACCCTCCTTTCTCCTCCTTTCTTTATTTAACTTTCTGTCTTTCTCCATCTGTGCTGCACACACTCAAACACCCACGTTGTAACATAATGCAATCATTCTTTTTATAGTACACTCAGGCTACTTTTAACCGGAATAATAATGTGTGATGATTTCTACAGATATCCACACACTGATACACACAAACAACGTGCTCTGTAGCTATCGTGTATTTCATATTTGAGAGCTGTAACCCGTATGAATGCCTTCTGTAGTCCTGACTGTTCATAAAACCAAACATCAATACACCAGCAGCAAGAACGCTCCCCGGGAACCTTGAACTCTGAATCATTTTCTTATGGGGTTAATAATGAGGGGACACCAAGTCAACGACTGACATATAAAAGAATTTATTTCTCATGTGCACAAAAAGAATTGGAACAGAACTGAAACAGAACAATGATTGAGGCCACAAGGCTTTCCGTATAGATTTTCATCAGAAATCCTTTTAATGTCCATGACACATCTCCTGTATCATCTTTACAACAGCAGAAGACCCATTCCTTCAGAGGTGCTCTGCTTCCTAAAGCAAAGACTTCTCCTGAATGACGGCGGCTTGCACTCTGCGCCAGTGTTTCATTTTCAGATATGTCGAGCTACATGTAGACAGAAATAGGCAAATCCCAAGTGCAATTTGTAGAGGATAGCTTCTCCTGAAGAGCAGGACCGCAGTCTGTTTCTCTGTTATCTGGTGCCCTCAACAATGACAGTTAACCCTGGTACCAGATGGTGTATTTGCTTGTGAAGAATTAAAGTAAACTTCATCTTGGATGCCCTACACTAAAGAGTTGTATTGGTAGCTGGGTTGGAGTGGAGGGAGGGAGGAGAGATGGGTGACTGGGAATAAGTGTGGATGTGTTTCTATACATGGAGGCACAGATGACTGTAATTTGGATTAACATAATGATCACAACATCTACTAACAGCAAACAGGACAATATCTTTGATTGTTGCCAAGGACTTTAGTTTGATCACATCTTCATTTGTGGAGCAAAAGTTAAACTAGAGAGAAACCATTTCACGCTGGAGGTCTTTTGTACTTCTTAAGTTTTATGCTGTTCTCCATGGGGATTACTTGTTCTGAGCCCAACAACAAAAGATGATACAGAAAGCCATTTAACTCATTGCATAGTGACATAAAACATCATCATGACATTATCATGAAAACAAAATAAAATGACAAAGACAACCTATGTGATGTTAGCATCTGAAACCTGCAGCCACAGGTTATTACAGTAGTTGTGCCTTTCCTCAGAGCACAACATTACATTAAGACACAAATGTAATGCATGTTTTTTTTTTCGGTCTGTATATCTACAAAGGGAGCCAGTACATTAGTATGATACTGCAATGGTGTGTGATATTATTTACAGAGAAGAATTGTCTTCACATTATTCACAAATCATTCTACAAAGCAGCATTTAGTTGCAACTGATGGTATAGTCACTGAATTTCACCTTTTTCATTACAGTCATATGCATTATGTTGTTCGCCTGTTGAAAAGTCACAACATACATGTTCAGTGTTGACTACTTATTTAAAAGATAATACTGCTTTATTTATGCATACATATACTGTAAATAAAATATTAAATATCAAACTAAGTCTTTGGCAAATGTAGTTAAAAGTACATTCACAAAATATTTTCCAAAAAGCAAACTGAATCAGTATTTCCTTTCAGTCCCTATGGAGAGTAGAACGTAACTCGAAGAGGGTGGTGAATATGTGTTTGTAAAGGCAATTAATTTCATTGAACAGGCATGAATTTACGGTGAAAAAACAGGTTTGTAAGGCAATTGTTGAAGCTAATTTACAGTTGGTTCGCTCAACTGCGTACAGCTCTCTAAACTGTGTAGGCATCTAGTGGTATGACTAAGTAGCTGAATGAAGTATAACCCAGGAGAATTGAATTTGTTCATGTAGCCATAGAGCTATGGCTTACAAACTGCTCAGAAACCTGAAATTGTCGCTTTTACTCAGAACAAGATGTTCACACAAAAACATGTCTGTCTGTCTGTCTGCTTTGTGTTTTTACACCTACATTATGCAACATAAATAGTTTCGACTTATGGTTAAAATTGGTAGGTTAACTAAACATAATTTTAAGTGAATGTACCAAATAAATTAAATAAGCTGAGGTTATAGTGCAAAAAAAGAGCAAAGGACGATCATGCATGGACATGGACATGGCTGGAAAATGAAGGAAATGTGACTGAACTACTCTGATGTGAACTATCTTTGATAGCATTTTTTTACATTAAAAAATAGTGACAGAAAAAAATAATTTAAAGTATTTAAAATTATGGCGAAACCATTTTGTGGCCACCACGTTTTTTAATACTTTGCAAAATGATTTACATTTTTACATCTGATTGTTTGCCACAGGGAGTGTGATGTTGCCATTGGTCTATATAGGGTCAGTAAACGTTGTAGGACATGCTGTGTTTATCTGATAATGTAGGTGGGACTGGCGAAATGGGAGCAGGAGACGTAGTCAAAGCACCAGAGGAAAGCACGCCCTACAGTGTGGAGCCAGAATCGCATTAAGTGTCAAAGGGGCCCCACAACACTGGTTCGAGTCGCTGCACCATCAAACTATGGGACCATTGTCATCTCCCCTGGACTCTCTTTAGAGCAGAAAAATACTGCAGTTCATCACATAAAAGGAATGTGAGGATCCATGAATAAAATAACAACAACAACAACAGCAACAAAGAAACAAAAATAAAAACCCACAACATTTTTTTCCACATGGTATTCTTCACACTGTTTTCTTCAATTTATATTTTATAATATATATATTTATATAATCTCTTAAAGTCATTCTGGAAATGTTCAGGCCTGTGAGAGATTGAGGGCATGATGGGTGAGTTCTGAACGCCCGTGGGCCCTTTTGACCCAAAAGTGTGTAACGCCGAAGCTGGGCATGATGCACCGGCGTCGACCTCGCTGATCCTTACTCCACATCATGGGGTTTCCTTTAGGATTCCACCTCGCTTCCCTTTGACCTCAGTGTTTCTCAGACGGGGACAATATGGAGGCCGAAACCCTGGCCCTGCAGTTTGAGCTGGTCTCCATGGTAACTAGTGGCGGTCGTAGGCAGTGGCAGCAGTGGGAGGTGCGGAGCCACGAGATGCGGCACTATAATAATAAGGGGAACCTGAAAGTTAACAGAAGAGCGAGCCGTTGGAAACCACGAGGTCAAGCACCATGTAAGACACGTGTGTAAAACTCCAAGAACAGAGAATACATTGAGCCTGGAGATTTGTATTACTGTTACTGAATATGATTTTAATTTTACAACATGTTTAGACATGATTGAAAAATATACTGTTACATTAGAGTACGTCTGACAGTTTTTGTTATATAAGAGAAAGTAGCTTACTTAGTAATGCTGGATTGCTGAACCGCCATGCTTCGTTGTAAGTGGTGTATTGTGGATGAGAGTAAGGGTTTCCAGAAAAGTCCCCTCCTAGAGAATAAATCAATAAAAACAAACATTAGCAATGGGCTAACAAACTAAAATGACTTTGTAGAATACTATGCTGTAAAAATGCCTTTTCATCAAGTTACATTGCAGTTACATTACAATCTTGTCACACAACAATGTGTCTGTGCGATTTTTATCCGGACTGCTTGTATAGCTTGTCTCTACAGTCCCTTCAGGTGAATTGATTGTTTTATTAATCCTCTGTTAGTCTTTAGGATTTCCTCCATTCTTTCCTTAAGTGAGAATTTCAGTGCTTTTTTCCTGCTTTTAAGTGATGATGCTTCGCTTCAAAACTCCCTAATAGGTTCTCTGAGACGCTCATTCGCTCTTTGTCCTCCCTGTGCAGGTTGTGGTGTAAAGGACGGGAGGCTGAGGGGATGTCAGAGAGCGATGCTGTGGCTCCACAGGTTTCTTTCTTTTACGAGACTATAAAGGCTGGGTTTTATATGAAGCTGCTGAAGAATGGCCTTTGCTTTAACAGTGTTTGGGGCCAGTCACTAAATCTTAGTCATTCACCACCAGATGAAAAAAAACCCATAATCTCTGGATTAAGAAGGTGGCTATGCTTGTGTGCTTGTATGTGTGTTTGGGTGGGTATATCCATAAGCACTCTCTAGTGGCAGATAATCCAATAAAATGTAAGTAATTATCTTAATTTAAGATATCAGCTTTTACCTCCATGTATATTTAAAAATGTTACCCTCATGCATACTGAGCTCACTTGTAAATACTGCGTGCCTGCTTTGATTATTGGTCAGTGTGAAAGGTACATGTCTCAGAGCAATAAAGGGAATTGTGTTTTCAGTTGTTTGGAGGAGAGATCTACACATGCTGGCAACTATAGCATCCTCACTGCTGGTCGTGTAACTCGAGCTCATCCCTGAGAGAGATAGTGATTTAAATATTTACAGGCCCTCCACGCCTCTGTGTTTTGACCCTTAACTGTTTGCTGTGAACCTGAACTGCAGGTTAAGTAGAGGGGAAAGAGATACGCTCTGCAGCCCTGGGTGTCCGGGGAGGCGAGGAGAGGCGCAAAAGCAGTGTTTATCGACGGGGCTGGTAAGAGTGCGCTGTGTGGACACGGCGAGGGTAATGAGCGCTGGGAGCTGGAGTGTAACTGAGAGGAACTGTCCTATCTCACGGCCACTGATTGTGGTGATCGCCTATCGAGTTCATCTAATGTCCTCGTCCGCAGACGCTAACCACAAGCTAACCGCAGTCTAACAAAGCTATAACAAGCTTGCTTCAATCCTTTGGCTCAAGAGCAATACTTTAAGGATCCTTCAATATCTCAACAGTGGATGTGTTTTTATGTGTTACATGTATACTGTTAAACATGTCACAGAAAAGCATTACCACTTGTTTAGCTTAAAGTGACCTCAAGTTCTTTAAACAAGATCAACTCAAGGGTACTATCTAGTGAAAATAAAACCTGTAAAAGCAGAATTAATGGCATCATAAAAAGGGAGTAGTGTCACCTACCAGGAACCATTCCAGCGAGTGTGGAGGTGGGGTAGCTGCCTTGTCCTGTGGGGGGGACATGAGGCGGGTAGCCAGGTAAGGTGGTGCTGGCCATGTCTCGACCTGCAGGCACACAGGAGGAAATTCTTACAAGGATGCTTGAACGCAGTAAAGCTGAACAACTTGTGTTGTATGTTAATTAACATATTTGTTTGACAACTTCATTGTCATTCAAATGTCATTGCATTTTTGTGTTTTTTCATTCCTTTTTATAGGGAAAATGATTTCTCCTCTGCAACCTAAATGCAATTATGAAATATCATAAACAAGGAACACACTAAAATCACCAAAGTGAAGTGATGCATATAGTCACTGAGAATGACGAGCAGTGTCACTGTCACTCACAATGCATCAGACCATTTGAATAACTTATATTATGGGGGAACACCCTGGACAGGTCATCAGTCTATATCACAGGTTCTTTTGATGAAGTTATTTAAATTAGTTTTATGAAATTAACCCTAACCCTAATCAGAGACTACAACTGCTGTAACATTACTATACCAACATCCTAAGCAGCTTTAAAACTGACAAGAGCATCAGGAGCTCTCTCTGCTCCACATTCAGTCCTGTAATTAACAGTGACAGTACCAGGCCTGGCTGGATGAAGGGGCACACAAGACAGGGAGATATGGGTCCAAAGCAGGCCCCAGCATCAGCCCTATGTCCCTGCCTCTGCAATCCCCCACCCCCCACCCCCTTTGGCCTCTTCTGCCCCCTCAGACCTTGGGCCTGTCACGAGGCTGGAAAGACTTGGAGGCCTATTGTTAACTCGAGAGACGGGTTGTGAGCTGGTGAAAGGCAGAGTGGAAAGGGGGAGAGAGCAGTGGCTGTTAATGAGGAGCAAACAGTCAGTTTTGCTTCTGTATACACAACAGTAGGGCAACAAAGCATGATGGGATTGGTGGCTTTGCAACGTGAGAGGCAGATGCTTTAATTTGGTGTATATCTGAAAATGAATAAATTCTCAAAAAAGAACACAGAGGTAAATCAACTGAACAGACTGAGCTTGTTTGGATTTATATCTGGTTATGGGGTCTTGTCAGTAATGTTGTACCTGCTATAAAGGGCTGGCTGGCATACTGGCTGTAGCAGGGGCCGTGGGCATGGGCAGGGTAGCTGGGAGTAGAGGCATCTACAGAGAGGCTGGACTGGTGGGGCAAGATGTCAGCTAGAGCAGAATCCCCAACAGAGGAGGGGGTGAAGGGAGCAAAGGATGCCTCATGGGGCTCCCGCTTTACACACATGGAAGGTGGATATGATGGGTGAGAGTCTGCCAGGTGGAAAAAAAAGAAAAAGAAAAAAACTCGATATAATGTCGTCATGCAACTCTGCACATACTGTACATACATACACTTCAGTCACTCAGATGTATGATGGGATGGATGTACAGCGTTCTAAATGTCCAAGTAACCCCAAAAAACTACTGTACAGAGGCAAAAACAAATCAGATGTGTTGCAGCAGAAGTTTTTAGATTTGTCATGCACATAGCCGAACACAGGGCAATAAATCAAACAGGGAAGGGACTCCAAATCTTTAGCAGATTTGTGGCATGAATTATAGGGAGCCTAAAGGATGAGGAACACTACAAGAAGTGCAATTGCTACTATACATTAACTTCCTATCTTTTACCAACTCAAGACCAGACATTTCGTATGAATTCTGAATTGAAAAGCAGTCTTTAGAAGTTGATTTGTTCATTTACATAGCTTATAATAATAATCTCATATGCACCCAGCAGTAATTCATTCAACTAAGTGGAAACATACACCAGTGAAATGTTGCAACAACACATCGCGCCTGATCAATCAAGCTCAAATGCGCAAAACATTTCCCCATGGTTTTAGGAAAACAAACAGCATAATCTCACGGCTGCTTTCTCACAACAAAATCACTCCCACAAATAACCCAACAATCGGCTTGCAGACAGTTCAAAACTCTACACTTTGATCTAATTTGGCTGATGAGTCTTGGCATCTTTCATTTCACCGGCTCTGCCTCTTCAACCTATGCAATCAATGCGAGCTCTGTCTCTGGCCTCTCCACGTCTGCCGCAGAGCCTGTTCTGTTCGCTGGGGCCTGTAGGGAGAGATGGCTCTTTCCCGACACCATGATAGCCTCATTAGCTGCTTCCCCCATCATTGTTATTTTACAACAGGACTGTGTGTTGCGATTCCTCATTAAGATAAGGGCTGTTCTATGGAAGGGGGATGCAACCCTGTCAGCCCTATGAACCTAATGGCAGGGAATCAGGCAACCTAACGGACTGCTTTCCCATAGAATTCTATAGCAGGTTCTCTAAATCTCTTTGTCTTTGTGACAGCTGTAAATGTGGGCTTAGACAGAGGTACTGCAATTACACAGACTACTTTCATCTTATTGAGACAAATACCATTGTTATGGAGGGAACAGGACAATGTTAACAATGTAAGTTTTTAACTTATGATCAAATCATTAAAAAGAATAGATGACATGTATCTCTGGCATGAACAGAAATATTCTAACGAGTGGGCTTTGCATTTAATTGGATGGACCTAAATTTTGTCACATGTATTTGTCGCACTGTATAAGTTTGTCATAAATCTATTGGAAACGGGGTCTGAATATAGGAATGAGTGCAAATGGCTAGCACTCAGTTCTGTTCTTCAGTTAATTATATCTAATACGTAGACTGTTAAAGTCTGTAAAGTTAAGACAACTTTCAGAAGTGTAGTTTGATTTGGGCCCATCCACCCCCACTCACTGATACAAGACAATGTCAGACAACCCATAAAAGCACTCTATTCAACAAACACCTGGATTTATTACACATTCACAGTCACAGTAAGCCTAAACAATCGAAAAAACAGAACAACTGTACAAACGTTGGCCTTAATAAAACATAATCTAATCCCTATGTGTCACAATTTACAAAAGCGGATTGTGTGTTTACCACTTAGTATGCTTGTTAAGTGAACCTTGCTCACGCATGTACAGTATATTATTGTTCTAAGGAGGACTAACTTTGTTATCAGGCTGACACTGCATGGCCCACCTGTACCTTTGGGACGTTAATCTGAACTTTAGGATAAAACTGAGGGGGCCAAGCATGAAGCCCAGGCCAAGTCTGTTTACACTGTATCTAAGACTTCCTGCATACTACTGTAGGCTCAGCGCCTGAGCAACCTTTGTCAAACAGACAGGGTTTACGACGCAAGAACAACCGATACAAACGCTGCGTTCAAGACCACTGAACTCTGAAACTAATCAGACATGGTGTTGCTTATTGTCCTGGAGACGAGGCAGAGCCTGGGTAAAGGGAGCCTGTCAAATCACAGGCCCTGATGATGGAGATGGAAGATAAACTCAGGGTCCTTGGGGACTTCTCCCCAGCAAACACATCTCTGAGCAAGTGGAGACGCTATAGAGTTCTCCAACATCTGTCTCTGCTCCACCACTGATGCCACGTCTACAGACCCCATCAACCATAGAAATGAACTGTTAAGGAGCTACAGCAGTCCTCGGAGTGATGCGTCCAGATATAGCTGCAACAGCCTTCTCTCAAGTGAGCGTTTCATTTTTAAACGTACACTGAGGAACTTTGGTGCGCAAACCACTTACTGGCAGAACTTGTTTTCAAAAGCTGACATTCAATCTACAGAGAACTTTTTCATTCCTACAGCAAAACTTCTCTCTTGTGTAGGTGCATGTTGATGTTTACATCATGTATAGCCAGTTAAATCTCTGCATTCACTCTCCTGCATTGTAGAGGTGGTCATTTATAACTACTTACACCAGAAAAGAACAAAAAAAGCGATTGTCAAAGGCTGCATCCAGTTATGAGCGAGTAAAGAATATTAGCAGGGCCAAATACCTTGAATTCCCCATCCACAGGTTTAAAGTCATTCATTATCTAATGTGTGCTCAAAGGTTAGTGTGCTATTGTGGGGGGTGATATAAACATTAATTTCTGAGCTCAGGGCTGCAGGCGTTAACTGAGCTGAGACAAACCGTTTGTCACCAGGCCACACACCAAGCCCGGCAGGTTAGGTGGCTGCTTATTGTTTGCCACCCAGCAAAGAATAGCTGGGACTGCCAAATCAGAAACTGAGTGTGGTATACATTTCAGATTTTTTAATCTGTGCTTTCTCATCTGTACAGTTTGTCATATCATAGTGTGTGAGAGAGAGAGATAGGTAAGAAGGTAGATAGGTATAAAGAGAGATGGAAAAGAATTGGATCTTCACATCTGCTAGAGTTGTAGTAGGTCAGAGGGGTGCCCATTTACACCCAGCCTCCCCACAGGCTCTGGTGAGAGTGATTATCGAGCCCAGCCGGCACAGAGACTACTGTACTCTCATTGGGCGTAACCCTATTTAACTACTGCTAAATAGCTACAATATTATATTATGATTTAGACCACACATTCAGCTTTTGACAGGATTAGAATAACTAAAGACAAGATTCACTAAATCTGTTGCATGTTGCTTACTCTGTTCAGGTGTCTTTAGAAAACTGTGCAGACACATAAAGGCTGGACCAATGCCAGAGACCAGAGGTTAATCATGACATGTTGTTCTATCCATGGCCGCACTGAGCATTTCACAGTGTTCATACTAGATACACACACACACACACACACACACTGACAGACACACACACATACGTACATCAGCTTCTCTATGGCTTGTATACACCAGAAACGTTTTAGTTTTTACCTGGTCACAAATGCAAAATAGCGTAAACATGGTAAGAAGTACATTTAAATTCACAATAATACTTATATTACCAATATTAACAAGAAGCTAGATTTGTTGTGTTTCTTCTATGGGAGGACAACAGAACAATTTCCTTTCAAAGAAATCTTGATGAATGTGGTCTTTTAACAAAATGGTAACATTACAAATCATGTACATATTTAAAATCTGAAGATAGTAATTGTTCAGGAAATAATTTGTAAACTCTTACTAAATGGTTTTCTAAATCCTAAGAGGTGCGTTTTAGTATCCTAAATTCCTCTCTGATATGGCTGCCGCCGTCCTCCTTAGGTAACCATCTCTTTCACACATTAGGGTAAACAGAGGACACAAAAGATGGCCGACATTGCTTTCGTTAGTGCCCTTGGAACGCAAAACTGAGCACTTCATTAATCATTCATCTTTAATAGATTATGCAAATTTCAGGACATAAAAATCAACAAGATCAATAACTGTATGAATTTTAATTGGGAGCAGAAAACATTTAAAGAATGAATATAATCTCGTAGCTCCATCCAATATGAGAGCGTAATTTATTGATAATTGGATCCCAGCCTAAATGAGGAAGGTAATTTAGCATTTTTCAGCCTTGGCATACATTCCCATTTACAGGGTTTGCTAATGGCAGAAAAAATAATATTATACACTGACAACCTACACCCAATCAAATGCTTCACGCATTACTCTGCATAGTCGTTAAAATTAAGTAATAAAAGTTTGCTGGATATTACTTCTGAGTTGAATCTGGTGCTCAAAATACTCAGACACATTTTTAATGCTTGTGCTAAAGTATGTTGTCATATTCCACTTTAGGAAAATTTTTGTTAATTTGCCTCCTCATTATGCAATCTGTGGCCCTCACATGTATCGCTTTAGGAGGCCCCAGGCCCCCAGGTGGCTTGAAGGCCACCTGCTATGAGTGTGCTCCCCAGAGCGAGACCGCTTTCATAGGAGGAGCCCAGCATAAAAGACAAAAACACACCTTTCTTCTCCTGGGGCCCAACTTTCTGGGGCAAATCTACCTCCCACATATTCAGGAATAAAAAAGGGGTCTTTCTTTTCCCACAGCTCTGTGCCTGGGTCTGGGGCTAGACTATAGGGATCATTTGAGAAGGGCCACTGCAGTTTTCAATCATGCTGTCCTCCTCTTTACTCTGTCCTCTCTCTTACACACACACACACACACAGACACACACACACAGACACAGTAGACTCATTGACTTTGATGCCCACTGCATAATTATGGGTGTTTTATTAAAAGCCTGGTATATTATTCTCGAGTCACTGTGGCCATCAGTAAACCTAACCTCTCCAGGGAAAGAGCCTCAGCAGCCACATTGAAACAATATTTCAATTAACCAGGCGGCCATCAACCTCGACAGCAGAGCAAAAGAAGCCATAGTGCAATAGAGGGTGGGTTTGTGTGCGTTATATGATACAGATAGTTAATACTACAAGATATTCAATACACTGCACCTGCCATTGCCTGTTGGCTCTCAGTGGAAGTTACTATTGTAAACAGCAGCCAGTTCATAGGTTGGAAAAAACCCTGTAATTTCAGCGTTTCACTGTGTGTCTCATCTTTATATGGGTCTCTCTCTCTCTCTGTTTCCACAAGCATGGGGCAGCCAGCCAGCCACGGTGCTATTCCAGCCGCTGTCAATCAACAGGCTATCATAGCCTTTGATGACAACGTCGTGTCGTGGCGAGAACAGCAGCTGTCTCTTATGAGAAGTGCTCCCAGTCAATCTGTTAGCGGGCCAATCCAGGCTAACACAATAGCCAGTTAGGAGCAGCGCGTGAAAGGCCTGTAGGATTTAATGGGCTCAGATGATATATTGCCTCGGTCTGTCCCTCAGAAATAAACACACAGAGTGCCTCAAAAAGTGGCTTGAAAGAGCTTTTTTCATTTGGTGATAAGAATTTTATATATCGCTGGAAAATGGGTGCACCATAAGGAAGTCAAAATCTTGATGAGTCGATGATGCAATATAAAGATGATTGCAGCACTTGGTCAAAGTTGACCAAAGTTGAGAAAACACATTTTAAAAAGTTTATTTAAATCAGTGGAGCTTACAATTTGAATACTTTAATCCACGTGGAAAGTGAAGCTACAAACAACTGGCTGATAATCGCTATTATAAATTAGTATTATTAAGTGAAGTAAAGTGTAACTTTGTATCTGAGTGTAAAATGACAGCATACAGTGTACTTTCAGTAAGTTATGGTGCATTATAGTCTACTAAATCTTTAGTTGCAGTTTTTTTAATATTAGTAGGATGCAGAATGAGTAAAATTTACTAAAAAAGTTTCACAGATTCACTTAGCTTGTTAGATATAAAGGGTGTTTTGGAAAAATGGGATGCAGTATGTTAAAATTTACTATAATCATGAGCATGGTATGCTTGGTTTAATTTTAACTAAAGTAGTTTGGGGAGATGAAACAGTATGGAAACAGCAGCAGAAGCAGATACACTGTGTATGTGTTCTCTGCACTGAGTTCGACCATATTGCTGCAGATGTCGTCGACCTACTGCAACTGTGTGTATTCTTTTTAGGGATCAATCTAGCGTGAGTCAGATTGTACCTGTCACAACAGAGTAGCTCTGGGAGACACTGGAGGCGAGGTCGGAGCTGGCGCTGGTGGAAAGGCTTGGCTTCACGTCTTCCAGGCCAGCGTTCAGGGATGGGAGTGAGTACTCATTCGCCTGTAGACAAATACACAACAAATGCAAAAATATGTCAGTGGAGACATGCACATGTGAGTCGGTGGCAATCAAAAAGACTTTCTAGATAAAATAATCTCACATTCCAGATTGTGTCATGATCTGGGTAATGTCACTCATGCACTGAATGAAAACCCACTTTGGGTGCTAGATTTAGAGCAGATTTCCCAGTTTAGGAGACACTATATGAAATATGTCTGAAGGAAACCCCTGGTGTATCCGAGGAAGCTGTCTGTGATCCTCTCACTGTGTTTCCTTCTGAATATTTCGTGTGAATTCTGAGAGCACCGCCAACCCCCCCCTCACCAACCCGTCCTGTCCACCGCTCCCCATGCTTTACCAAGACCTATGATGTATGCATGCATTAGGGCTTGTCTGAGGAGAAGGCAGAAAGGGAGAGAGGGATGAGAGAGGGATTGGGAAAGGAGTGAAAGGACGGGGTGTCAGCTGGCTCTTTGTGCTCCACTGCAGTCATCCCTGTGACCAGTCAAGGGAGGAGACATTCAGGGCTTTGTTACAGGAGAGACATGTGGTGTGGTTTTTTAAAGGGGAGTGCAACCTCAAAATCAACCTTTGTGCTTTGCCTCTAGGATGAACACATAAAACTGTGTTAATAAAATGAGAAAATAGTGTGTATTGTTTTACACTTTTATTGGTATTTTTTATTTTACATTGGAGGTTTTTATTGCATTTATTTTTAATTGTGATGAAACGTACTGTGTGCTGCAGCCATCTTTCATGTTTTACGATTTCTGATTTAAAAAATGTAATACTCTGCTGTACTACACCAGAAAACTTCATGTAGGGATCAATCACCAACTAGTCTCTTTAGTATTTATTCACTTTAATCTGAGGTTAAGACTCAGCTAGCAGCTGTGATGAATCCTGTTTGTTAATGAGATGACACTTCCTGACCTGATTCTTCTTCTTTGAAAGGATAAGTGTGTGTGCACACATTTGTGTCTGTGAGTGTTTGTATCTGAGTGCGTGTGTGCATCTGTTTGTCTCAATGGGACTGGGGTCCCACAGGGGCGAGCTGGTGACCCCAGTCTTGTTTGCCTCTATCCCAGATAAACTCTAATTGTCTGCTTACAACTGTTCCCTGGCACTAGGCTGGATGTTCCTCTCTATTCCGCTGGGCCTCAGCAGCACAAGAGCCATTTTGTCATGCAGATGGGTTGTGGGCAGGGCTGGGCAGGGCTGGGCGGAGGGCGAGTGGCAAGCACAGAGGGGCCTGAATGACCTGACCACATGGCTGCCAGAAGTGTGGGAGGGATGAGGCCTATTCAGCCTGGCCTCTTCAAAATGGCTTTTTAATGCCCTGACGCAGACACCAGACAAGCCCCTAATAGCCTAATATCCCACCTTTTCACCAGTTTAAGAAAAGGAGGGGGTGTTGGAAACAGGGAGAAAAAAGGAGGTGCACAGAAAGAGTGGAAAGCGGCCTGATTAATATTACATTAAATTAAAACTGATTTTTCTGGACCATTCTGATGCCGTTTTTCTCCCCCTTCCTCCACCTTCCTCTCGCTTTTTTAATACCTTCTCCTCCACTCTTTGTGATTGCAAGTCATTTCCAATTCGTTTTGGTATTGATCTTGCCGTAGAAATCACTTTGGTAATTAGCTGCATTAAAGGCTGTATAGCAGGCTGAGGGGCTGTCCCTCTGATTTATCGCCGCTGTAATTCCCCGTGATCGCGCAGAGATGAAAATGAACTCAATTAGGGCACTGCTAAGGCTGCATGGGCGCCCACATAGAGTTCCAGTGGAAAAATTAATAGTCTCTTGTTGTTTAACAGTCTAATGAATGTAAATAAAGGTTATCCGCTGTAATAGGCACTAGGCTTTTAGGCTGCTTTGAGCAAGAAGTTGCACAGAGCCTTTTGTCACCTGTGTCAGTATGTGTACCAGTTAATTCACTATATAATGTTAGAAATCAATGTAAATTATTTTAATGTTGAGTACCACAACTTATGGTGTAGAAAGAAATATGTCTGGCCAACCTGTTCAGGTTTGATGTGTTCTGAAGTGGGGAAGACGTCAGGGTAAGAAGGACGTTCAAACACACGGTCCAGGGCCTCCAGCTGCTGCTGGGTGAAGGCGTCTGCTCGCAGGTGCTTCCTTAAACTCTCCACACTGCCCTGAGAGTCGCTGCCAGGGCCTGAGCCATCAGAGCCATCTAGAGAAACAGGGAGAGGAAGAAGGGAAAAGGGGGAGGATTGGTGATAACATTGTGCATCAGGGCTTAGCTCTCTTTTTTACCTGATATTATTCTAGCAGCCTAGCAATGTGTGATAAGCATGAGGAGAAAATTTTATTTTGAGCTCAACGGGTGTGAGAGTTATGGCATGAGGAGCAGTAGTAAATTCAGGGAGACCCACCAGCATGTCTGCCTTTTTATCTCCCTCTCTGTTTTTCACTGGCTCTCTCTCTCTTCCTCTCACACACATACACTCACTCAAGCAGCTCTCTGCCTCCCCCTCACCTCTCCTTGTGGCCACCATCAGCATGGTCATCATGTGATAGGTCTATGGTAATTGATGGATTACCTTCAGTGCAAATATATACTTGTAAGGGAGAGCGTGTGTTTCAGGAGGAGAAAGTAGGGCTGGCGATTACATACAGAGCCTCTCATTCTGCCAGCGGGAAATGGAGAGCCATTATTTAACTGCACTATTTCCTCCTGAACATATTACCCTTCCCTCTCTCTGTCTCTCTTTCTCTCCCTCCATCCCCCACATATTGCCTGTCTTCTGGAAAACAGAATGGAGTGGGGACGATACTCAGGGCCGAATGAGGACGGGGCGTCGAGGGCAAGCGTTTGCATTTCCTCACTCGGTCACACTCTATATAAACAAATGAGCCTATGCTTCCCTCGTTCTCCTGATCTCTGACCCTATCAACCTGGCCAAGGAGCCCGATGCTGCCGCTGCAGCTCTCCCTCTGCTCACTCATCAAGTCCTGAACACTGAAAGAAGAAAAAAAAAATCTACTGCTAAAACCTCCAGCCAGCATCCCAGGAACCTCCACTCCACTGCCTGCCTCCCGCCATTCCTCCCTTCCTCCCTACACCCTGCCGCCAACAGCGGATGAGGGCTTTAGCTCCCATACAAATCTGTCATTCTAAATTTGCAGCAGATTATGTTCTCTCCTGGGCGAGCCAGCGGTGATATATGATATGCAAGGCCGCTATTGATTGCCTGATCCGCCAGCAGAGGAGGGAGGCGAAATGAACTTGGAATGAACATCATGCCTCAACTCATTGTGCGTATAATACTCTACTTAATCCCACATTTTTCTGTGCTATGGAATTCAATTGATCAATCATGTTCCACTGATGGTACCATTTCAGGGGCGTTATTGCCATTCTGCTCGGCTGCTTGACCTTTTTTCAATGGCTGAGGCCAGAGGATGAACCCGACTCGCACCAAGAAATAGATCCATGGAGAGAATGGAATAGGGGACTGCAATTGGGTATGAGTGTGCGTAGATGGGAGTGTGTGTGCTTCACTGTTAAAATATATTGACTTTAGCTTTGTGTAACATTTGTGAAGGAATCAGTTTCTTCTCTTGTCACATGTGTTTTTTCTTACCATCATTTAACTGAATATTTTAGCACAGGCTTTTTTTTCAAACATCTCCCTTGGGTGTTGGGTTGAGGTTGCTAGGTGGTGGAGAAGCATTAGTGTTGTTGTATGAAACTCAATTGTTGTCTGTGGTACAGAAGAAAATAGAGTCATTAATTACCTCGTATCAGCTGGTCTAAGAAAAGAGGCACGCTCGATCAATAGCAACTGTTTGTCATTCACTATGGAGGACCATGCTTATACTCAGCAACACCTCACACACTTAATCAGGCCTCCTGAACTGGCTGCAAAAGGACATACTTATATTTCCAACATCTTTTTGGTGCACCATTTTAATTAATTTAACAAAAGCCTCGCTACCAAAATTATAAAATTAATTTTGGAACCTGCTAATTTACTGGCAAGCATTTTAACACAAGGACTAACAATAAACAACATCTACATCTATATTAGCAACACTTTTTGATGTTGGTAAAGGTTTGTTTACACTAGTAATGGTTTAAAAATGGGAATGAAACAGGTCTCTCAGTTCAGACACACACTTTGCATTATTTTTAACTCTTCAGTTATGCATTTGAATATATATCAAATTTATGTGGTCAGAGAATTACTGATTTGGCCTTTAAATAGAAATACTAGTAAATCATTTATTTTCAGAATTTGCCATTAGAGGTTCATGTTTGACATATATCATAAGATAGCTGCAATAAATCAGATTCATCCTTTGACAGTCAGCGTGTCAAGTGGAGTGTGAAGCCTGACTGTCAGATCGCCTGTGTATGTATGTGTGTATATGTATGTGTGTGCGTGTGTGTGTGTGTGTGTGTCTCATTGACTGGCTTGTTTCATTTTCTCACTGTTTCTTCAACCCCTTTGGGTGTCTCAGCAGGTATTCTCTTATCACTCCCACAGCACCAGCTGACTGCGTCTCTTTGTTTTAACACCAAAGTGCAAGGAGATAAACCAAGATAAAAACAAGACTCTCCAACAGTGACATTCACACATCAGCCCTAAAGCAATGTACTTTCTGGTAAATACTTTCTTTGATCAGCTTGAACCGACACATGCTGTTTGACCTTGTTACGACCAAAAGTTGTATATTTCATGGTGATGTATTCATACATTTTGCAGAGACAAACTCAACCAACCGACATGAATCTACAACTGGTCTTTTTGTCTAACAATATTATAATAAAATAATCTATACAATCTATACATCTTGCTGTAAGCCTTTCACACTCATGCACCTTCAGCCATTTATACATACGTACAGAGCTAACCAATCACAGTAGCTACTGTGAAACAGACCACAATGGTATCAAAAGCTGTTCTGTTTTGCTTTGTCTCTAAGAGGGATGTTAACGTCCTGTGGTGGCGTGGTGGCACTTTATGTCCTTCTTTCATCTCCCCTGTTCCTGTGATAAGATAACTCGGAGGAGAGTAGAGGGGGGCTTGTTTGAAAGGCAAATGAATTCCTACACACCGCCTGGCTCTCTCCATAAATCAATGGCACAGGGTTTTCCCAGATCAGAGGCTGCAAGTCCTCTGCTGATAGGTGAAATGATGCTCTCGCAAATTGTGGATCATTTGTTGATGTTTTTAAAAATGCAGTTATGCTTGAAAAAAAAGAGAGCACAAACAAACTGGTATACCCAGAGGGTGAACACTCCTCCCCTGTAAGCTAGCTATATTTATGAAACCTCTGAAGCGGAAAGGAGAGAGGTGGGTGGGGTGGGGGAGAGAGAGGGAGAGAGGCAGCTACACTGCCATGGCTGTTAAGATCCTGTTATGTTGTGGCGTGTTTAAGAGCTTTATTAATTCGATTTAGCACCACCAACCAGTGTACTGACTGTCAGCAGGCACAGCGATGCTTATTTGATATTTGCACTCACTGCCAGCACTGAGGCCGCGTCAATAGCATTTTGAAGCACTCTAGTTATTTTATTTACTTTGATTTAAATTCTCAGGTCCAGGCCAGTGCAGAAAGTTTATAATAAATAAATAAAAAGGCACAATTTGGATATAGTTTTTATAACATTAATAAGAGGGTGGCTGTAGATCAGCTGGTAGAGTTTGTTGGCCTTGAATTATACGGTTGGTGGTTTGATTCCTGGCTACCACATTCCACATTTTAGTATTCTTGAGCCTGAGCTATTCCTGGTGTGTTTGTGGGGGAAATATGTTGAGCTGGACAAAAGTTTTTGCCAAATGAATGTAAAGTTGTATTTGCATGCATAAAATATAATATGCTATTGCAATGTATGTATATATGTATATATATATTTTGAAACAAGAAAAATAAAGCAGCATCTGCATCATCAGAAACAATAATAACTAAACTTAATCTTAAAAAAATACTTTAAAAACTTTGATTTGCATTGAAAACAAGTTTAAATAATCTTTTTTTACTTGTTTTAATAAAATAAGTAATTTAGGACTCTGTGTTTAGTAGGACTCCATTTGCATCTCTTATTTATCTTTGTCCTCCTCTGCTTTCATCTCTGCCCTCCTCTGGACCAGTCTGTCATTTAGCATTGCCACCCTGTGTGGCGAGTATTTGTGGAAATGCAATTAACGTATCCCATCTTTTCTCTAGCCTTTTCTCCCTCCTCAAGCTGAGTAATGCATCGCTCCATTAATTCTCGGCATCGCTGCCCGTAATTGACTTTTCTCAGACATGATTCCTCTCCATTGAGTGAATTCCCTCTCCTTATATTTTTGTGACGGATCTCATTGTATATTGTTTACAACTATATGTGGGGTCTCGCGCAGCCATGTCGCTGAATGCAAATGGTTAACCCACAAGACTTAGAAAGAAGAGGGAAATTAAAGGATGAGGAGAAAGAACGACAGAGATAGAGCAGAGAAGGAGGAGGGGGAGAAATGCAATGTCGACCCTTTTGTGTCCTCCTCTACTGTCGGGGCCCTAACAGCTTCTTGTCTCTATGTTACGCTCTGTGGCCCCTCTCAAACCTGGGCTTTTCTCTCTCACACACACCCCATCAGGGCCATCATGGTGCTCATGATTCCATTTATTTCTGCCTCGCTCTGGATGCATTTATTTTCTAAAGTGATCCTCTATTGACTCATTGTTATGGACTGGCTTGACTAGCCAACCAGTGTGGGCCCAGGTTCAAATCCATACACTAACTGATTCAAACTCCAGAAATGGGTCATATGTGTTAAAAGATACACACCGGACAATCTCCAAAAGGGCCAAATATCAAATTTGAACAAATCAAAACAGCGACTGTATTCATTTTTCCTCAAGCTATTGAACAAGGTTGATGTGACTCTGGCTGCAGCGTACGATCGTTCTTTTATGTCATGAATGAACAACCTGCTAGGCACTATTTTTTTTTCCCCGCTCACACACTCATCAGCTCCTTCTACACTCATCCCACACCCACGCTACAATCACAAGTTATGACCTTTGCTTTCTCCATCTAATTTATCACTGTAGCTCCCAACTGCCTGTCCTCCCCAGAGCTGCACTGGGCTCCATCCAGGACGTGGTAGGCCAGCGATGAGAGAAACATACAGTTAGGTCACATCAACCTGACTGCATACAGCAGCAAGGTCAGGGGTAACCTGTCACTTTGTGCTAAGACTAGGAAAACACTGAATTTGCAAAAAACTGCTACTGCTACTAAAATAAAAACAGCAGCTCAAAATCATCTATGAGAAACAGCTGGGAGGCCCAGACTTTTTCAAATGGACTTCTAACACTATAATACACATTTGACAATCACACAGCAGTTGTCACCCAATCCTCTCTGCCTTTTCTTGGCTTCCTCTTCCACCATAGGTTTAAATGACTGAGTGAGAGCATGCTGTACAACAGGCTAATTTCCCCACTTCACTATTAATGCATTTGGCAGGAACAACATTCCATTTCCTGTAATGAGATACACAAATAAATCTGGCGCTGATGGGATTAGATTCGGGGTGGGGTGGTGGTGATGGTGGTGGAGGGGGGTTCGTGGGGGGCAAAGAGGGCGCATTGAGACGCATTTTCCCGGAGGCGGTGGCATAATTGGGTATCGCTGCTTGCAGAGCCATGCAAACCAATCTCTCCACAGCATGTAGGGCTGAGAACTCTCTCTTTTCCCCCCTTAAGGCTATTTCTTTTGTCTTTTCGATGCTGCACATCCAGATAGAGGGAGGGGGAGGGGCGGGGAGGAGTGTTTAATTTTGTGGAATTTAATTAGTAATAGCTTTTCTCTGCAGAATTGCAAATTCTTTTAAATGTCACTATGTTCACTGTGCGAGGAGCATCTGAAGCCACAGAGTTACAAACAGACACACTTAACACAACTCCGTGCAAAGGTGTGCATGCACAATTCCTAAAACTAATCCTTGCTCAACTCTCATTGAGGCTCCTTCTTCCCTCCTCCACTCACTTTTTTTCTCTCATTCCCCTGCTCCTCTGTCTCCCTTTTCCTCTTCCCATCTTCACTCGAAGCCGTCCAGTGTAACATGCTACTTTTAATTTGCAATAACACATGACAAGGACAGATTAATGGCTCTTATGGCACCTATGTCCCTGAAGCTCGTCTTACGGGGACCCGGTGTACATAACGCGTGTCACACTACATTATCTCTACAGCCCTCCAGTAATGGGGACCTTTTTCTTCCTCAAAGGGCAACCGATGACTTCAGCCACTGTACCGGGATCACACTCCACCACCATCACAACACCAGTGGTACAAGGACTGTGCAAATCTTTTTTTTCATGTTGATCAAATTATCACAATGTAGACACAAACGCTTTCAAGCTTAAAATCTTTGATTGGTTAACACACATGCAACAGTGAGAAATTTGCAGAATATTCTAAACGTGAAAACTCTTTCCTGCACTAGATCTCCCCTAGTATTTAATGTATTTATTCAAATATCTAGTTTTGAATAAAACTAGTCATTTATGTATTTACAGAGTTGTCTCACAAGGTAACATGTTAACATTTTAGCAGGTAACTTTACATAGTCTTAACGCAGATAGATAGTCGGCCTGCAGCTGAGACCATCTCTACAGCTTTGTGTTGTAAAATAACAACAATTTTTAAAATGTGGGCAATTGAAAATTACCATGAATAATCAAACACAAGAAATGCCAAATTTAGAATTATTTAAAAAAAATAATTTTAGTTTACAAGACTACATATTGTTGTTTTTGCCTGATAACAATTCTAAATAAGCTACACTGTGCGTTACTGTATATTGAACTGCATGCCATTACATGGAAAATAGGATTTTCCACAGTCACTTTAGCTTCATTTATTTTAATTTCTCGTGAGATTATTTATTGGAAAAACCTTCTCCCACCTCATCCACATAAACTCATAACCCTGGAAGAGCAAAAAACAGTAATTGAAAGGAAAGTATTGTGATCTGATTGACCAAAGCAAAAGAGAAGGTTGTCTAACTTCAACTTACAATGTCCTATTTTCCTTCCATCCAAGTGGTTGCCACTCCAGAGAACTAAAGAGACAGAAACATAAAAGAAGGAAGTGGCCTGTTTTGATGAGTGCTCTTTGAGATCATTTTCAACCATATCATACCATCAGCCACCTCAAAGCAGTACCACAGACTCACACATGCACACACACACAC